CCCCCCCCCCCCCCTTTAAAAGGGGTTTACCCGTTTATTTAATATGAATATGAAGATAATTTAATTTTTATTTTCGTCCAATTTCTGTAAGGTCAACCAGTTTCAGCACCAGAAGCCTGGACAGCGCCAGAACTGTCTTTTGTGGTTTATCTTTGATTGCGTGACAATTTTCAGATCCTTCCCAATATAAATATAGCTACATATTTATGTACACTATTATTTTACAATAATACGCCTTGTCAAACACGAGATTTCACTTAGTTGATCACTGTCGTTTTTTTCATTAAATGTTTGAGTGTTGCAATTAACAGAAAAATACTCACAGTGTCGCTATTCACTAAGTGTGCTGAGTGATGTGTCTCTCCTCCCATTTGTAATGCAATATGAGCTCTGTCTGTTAAACGCCGCACAAAATGGAGTAACAGTCCGTCCACACAGATAGAATTATTACAAATTCTAAGATTAGTTTACTGTTGAGAAGGTGCAACATTAACTCTTCAAAAATGGAATACAGATTATTTTCAGGTCCTTTATTTGCGTTTTTCGTGGTTTTTCTTCTGTTTCCTCTAAATACAGTCTGTGCTGATTTGAGCTACAATTTTCCAGAAGAAACGAAGCGCCAGTATGTGATTGGAAATATAGCCAACGGTCTGAGGATTGATGTGAAACAATTGTCTGCTCGTAAAGCTCGGATTGACACGGAGGACAGCAAACGGTACTGTGAAATTAATCTGAATACTGGTGATTTAATCGTGACAGAGACAATAGACCGAGAGGAGCTTTGTGGATCTCGAATGTCCTGCATTCTCAGTTATGAGCTCGTCCTGGAAAACCCTCTTGAAGTGCACCGAATAATTCTGCAAATTCAGGATATAAATGACAACGCACCACGATTTCCGAATGAATGTATTAACTTTGAAATCGGAGAATCAGCAGTTAAAGGCCAGCGATTTCGTTTGGATGAGGCGCATGACAAGGATATAGGGCAACATGATGTTAATGGCTATTCAGTGGAGAAAAATAAACAGTTTGTTTTGGATATTCAAGATAGTGCAGATGGAGGAAAATACGCTGAACTCGTGTTGGAAAAGGAGTTGGATCGTGAGCAGCAGAAGGAGATAGATATGATACTCACAGCCACTGATGGTGGTTCACCGCAGAGGTCTGGCACTGCTGTCATACACATCACTGTTCTCGACGCTAATGATAATGTCCCAGTGTTTAGTGAGTCTGTCTATAAAGTCACTCTGGCTGAAAATACACCTTCAGGAACAGAAATAATCAGAGTGAGCGCCACTGATGCTGATGAAGGTCCAAACGGGGAAGTGACGTATGAATTCAGCAGAATTTCAGATAAAGCTGTAAAATTGTTTTCTATTGATAAAACAACAGGACAAATTATGGTGGTTGGAGAAATTGATTATGAAAATGAAAAAAACTACGAAATGATAATTCAGTCCAAAGATGCATCTGGACTGGCATCAACTGCTAAAATTATAATAGATATAACTGATGTTAATGATAATTCACCTAGAATCATCCTTAAATCTTTGAACAATCCAGTACCTGAAAACTCTGAGCCAGGCACTGAGGTGGGAATCATTAATGTTCAAGACAAAGATTCAGGAGAAAACCGGCAGATTCGTTGCTCTGTTCAGCAAAATGTTCCGTTCAAACTGAACCCATCTGTTAAAAACGATTTCTCTCTAGTGACTACAAAAGCTCTAGACCGAGAGAAAGAATCTGATTATAACATTACCATCACTGCCACAGATGGGGGATCTCCACCATTATCCACCTCCTTGACAATTCAATTATTTATCTCAGATGTGAATGACAATCCTCCTCTATTTGCGCAGCAGTCCTACAGTGTACAAGGTGATCGCTGTAGATGCTGACTCTGGACAGAATGCATGGCTGTCCTATCAGATTGTCAAATCTACTGATCCTGGACTTTTCTCCATTGGTCTCCATAGTGGAGAGATCAAAACACAACGATACATTTCTGAATCTGACAATATGAAGCAGAACCTCGTTATTTCAGTGAAAGACAATGGACAGCCATCTCTGTCTACAACCTGTGCTGTAAATGTACTAATTTCTGACAACCTTTCTGAAGTTCCTGAACTAAAAGATATGACTTATGAGGACAGCAACTCTAAATTAACGTCCTACTTGATCATTGCATTAGTTTCTGTGTCCACCTTCTTCCTGACGTTCATCATACTGATCGTGGCAGTGAAGTTTTGTCACAGGAGAAAGCCCAGACTGTTGTTTGATGGAGCAGTTGCTGTTCCCAGCGCCTATATCCCTCCCAACTATGCAGAGGTGGATGGAGCAGGAACTCTCCGCAGCTCTTACAATTATGATACTTATCTAACCACAGGCTCCCCGCACCAGTGATTTTAAGTTTATCATGTCTTACAATGAAAACACAATTCCTTTTTCTCAGACTTTGTGTTGTGATGAAAAAACAACAAACACATGTAGTGACACCAGTGGTGAAGGACTCAGCTACCCCACTCTGGTAAATTAATTCATTTGATTAGTGTTGGCTTCACTTTGTGTGTTTTTTTTTGTGATTCTGTGCTGATTCTTATATTTTGAAAAAAGAAAAAGAAAAAAAAAAAGACGTAGACATTTCTGCATATTAATTAATCTGTGAAAGACTTACTGCTATGATTCTTGTAAAAAGAATCATTAAAATAATTGCAGCACAAATAATATTAACATAAGGTAAAAAAAATGGAATTGTAATTGTCATTTCATTTCTGTTTCCATTTAATTTCCCACTCTCCATTATTTTATTTTATTTTATTTTATTCCCACCACCACCTTTTAATTGTCAGAAAGTATCTCCAAAAACCTTGTAATTTTTTCAAATAATTGTTTTAAGTATTTGTTCCATGTTATTTCGTAGCATTCAATGTGTTATTTTACTGTGGCTTTTTGATATTTATAACTTATCTTCTAAAAACTAAGCTTTCAAAAAATTTTGAATTTTAGTTGACAATTTTTGTTGTCTTGTCATAGTACTTTGAAAAAATGACAAATTGACACAGAAAAATAAATACATAAATACATACATAAAAACATTTTAAACTAAAAAAAAAAAACACCTTAAGAAAATAATCTTGAAAAAAAAAACATTTCTCACATTTAACTGCCTTTAATTCCAGAAAAGTTATCAAACATGAGGAAACATGGTTACACATGATTTGCCAATGCAAGGATGAAGCTGCCATTTTCCTGTCTCTCTGTAGCAATGTCTTAGGTTTCTTATATTATGGACATCACTGTCACTGTGACTTTAATTGCTAGTATGTTAAGGACTGTTCCACAGGTGCATGTGCAATCAATAATTGTTTATGGCTTATTGAATAATATATTCTCCCGATGTAAACTGGTTGCACCACAAGACATTGTTGGTCACATCACATGACTTTGAGGACAAAATTGTAAAAAAAAAAAATTGTCAAAACTGCCTCACTGCTTATATTTTCTATTACAAAAATGAATTAATTATTGAATAATATATATATATATATATATTTTTTTTTTTTTTTTACTTTACCATAATATCATGCTTTGTGGTGTCTTTTTTAAAACCTTAAAGATTTCATGTAAACAGTCCTAACTTGTTTGTTCTCATTTTTGTGTTTCATGTTCTCCTCTGTGAACTGGACATCTAAAGGTAAGAAAAAAAATCATATTGCTCTAAATTAACTGGGATGCATGATTGTGATGTACATTAATATCTAAATCATTAACTTTCTAATAGAGACTCAAAAGACTTTAAATCTGTATGGGCAACTGACCATAAGCACATTCACTTGTACAACCAGGCACAAAGCACAACTTCTTGATGTTATTCAAACAAGAATTTAAAGAGACATGTTTGATAATATGGCTACTCTAACATGTTAAAACGGTAAAGATGTTGGCTGGTTTATTCGTTGATGATGCTAGCTGATGAAAACAACAACATAAATACAATTATCAGTTTATTTGATCAAATTTGATCTGAACAAAATCAACAATTATTTATTTAGCAAATGATTTCATCCAAATAATCTTAAATGGAATAAAATGAAGATATTCCTCCTAATGAGACAATAACATTAAAAAATAAATATACAAATAATTACTAGGCTAGAGTGGGGAGGGAAAAATAAATGAGTAAGTTTATTAAATAGAAATAAGTTTACATGTCAAGTGCTCAAGGTGAGTTTTTTAACTTTTCTTGAGAATAGTTCTTGAAGCGCTACTTTTTCTGTCGTTGGAGCTTTTTTGTGAGAGCGTGAGAATCGAACATTGTTTCTGGATTAAATTCGTCGGGTGCTGTTCATTCCGATGGTGCTGAAATTAATATTATTATTATTATTTTTTTTTGTCATGTTGCCTGCTACTAATTAATCAGCTTGTGGTTAACATGTATATCAACATAACGGAGTTCTATATGTTTACTGAAAATACTATTAGTGGAACTGAACTGATATTGCACTTTAGCTTGCAACAGTAGCATTAAGGCTGTTGGTCTTGTATTTGCGACTTTGAAGCTCTGAGCGCCGCTGTTGTCTAACATCTGAGTAGAGCATAGCCCATCCCTTATTGACGCGTTTGTAGGTTGGACATGTGCAGTGTTCTTTCGATGAAAATAACATAAATAGCCTGCGTTATTTTGAATTTAGGATTATAATGTTCATTCATACTTGTTCAAACTTCGTTTGACGACGCAGCTTATCAAGATGGTTTTTTTAAGGTTATCGAGCAATTCACACAGTCCATGGATGGTTTCCGCACAGTCAAAATGGCAGGTTGTGCTTTTCATTCTCTGCTTTTACGGAGTGGACGTCATATATTGCAATGCGAGATATTCCATCCCGGAGGAAATGCCAGAGGGATCATTCGTTGGAAACATCGCCAAGGATCTGGGGATAGAGATAAGTAGACTCATATCTGGAAAAGCTCGCGTCGTTACAAAGGGCGGACGACAGTATGTCGATCTGAGCAGAGACAAAGGGACTCTAGTAGTTAAAGAAAGGATAGATCGCGAGGAGCTCTGTAAGCAGATGACGCCTTGCAGCTTCAGCTTTGATCTTATCGTTGAAAACCCTATCCAGCTCCATCGAGTAACAGTTGAGGTGCAAGATATAAACGATAATGCTCCGTTATTTCCGAAAGAAAATGTTAATTTGAAAATAGCTGAAAATGCGATTTTAGGAGCTCGCTTCCCTTTAGACAGCGCTATAGATACAGATGTAGGTCTAAACGGTATACAGAGCTATAAACTACATCCAGCTGATAGTTTTAAACTGGAGGTTCATAGTCAGACCGATGGCAACAAATACATTGAGATGGTTTTAAAACGAGAACTAGACCGAGAGGAGCGCGATGAGATTCAATTGATTCTTGTGGCAAATGATGGTGGATCACCTCAGAAATCAGGCACTGTAAAAATTCACGTTACTGTTCTGGATGCCAATGATAATGCCCCAGTGTGTAAACAGTCAGTATTTAAAACTGAAGTTAGAGAAAATTCACCTGCTGGTACTGTCATAGGTACCATTAGTGCTGCTGATGCTGACGAAGGTGTAAATGGCCATGTTTCCTATTCCTTCGCTGTTGCAAGCAAAGAAGCAAGTGAGCTTTTTGGGATAAACACAAATACAGGTGAGATTAGACTTCTCAATAAATTAGATTATGAATCTCAAACTAGATATCAATTAAATATTAATGCGAGGGATAAAGGAGGCCTATCTGATACTTGTAAAATTGTAATAGATGTAATTGATGAGAATGACAACTCTCCAACCATACAGCTGATGTCGTTCTCAAACACTCTTCCTGAAAATTCCCCAGTGGGAACAACTCTAGCCGTCATTAACGTAGAGGACGCAGATTCTGGTAAAAATGGTCTTGTTCAGTGCTCAATAAATCAAAACATACCTTTTAAAATGGAGTCATCTCTTGTGGAATATTATAGTTTGGTTACTGATGATTTGATTGATCGAGAAAGTCTTGCTGAATATAATATAACAATCTTGGTATCAGACGAAGGAAGTCCTGCACGCCACGCAAACAAAACACTTAATGTAAAAATATCTGATGTCAATGACAATCCGCCAATCTTCGAGTTCGAGGAATATAAAACATTCGTTAGTGAAAATAATTATCCTGACTGACTCGAGGAAGAGTGGCTGTAAGTTTTCTACTCTCGGTGGTCAGAATGTTTTAGTGGTGGACCCGAGTTTCACTGAGACGATGCAGCGAGCAATGAAGGAAAAGAACATGCTTGAAAATTCTGAGCTACAAGAAATGGTAAGATCCCAACATGAATGCATGAATGGATTAATGCATAGACGCATTAAAATGAATATTAATATTAATAATTGCCTCGACGTCTTTATGGCCATTACACCATAAATCTTCGCTTGTTCAACCTATTGATGTTATTCAAACTTGAAGTAAAGAAGACGTGTTCGATAATGTCGTTTTTAAAATTATAAATATATGATTAACCATGGTAAAACGCACAGAACTGACTGGCTGATTTAGTTGTTGCGATATTATTGTTAATTGGACACTACTGATTAAAATAAATAAATAAATAAATAAATATGTTGTAACTGAGAGATTTGATTTGAAAGAAATCGTGATATGTTTTGGAAAATAAATAAGTTTGTCTTTGATAAATCAATGTATTTTGCAAAACTATATGTTTTCTTTATTTTCAACCTGCTGTTAAGATTTATTTTTAAAGATAGTCTGAGAATCGAGCATTCTATTCATTTTTTAATTCTTCGGGTGCTGTTCATGGTGCTGAAATGGTTCACGGTTTCCTCTTTTTGTCTCTTACTGATTTAAACAGCCTGTCTCACATAAGGCAGTTTCTTCTTCTTCTTCTTCTTCTTCTTCTTCTTCTTCTTCTTCTTCTTCTTCTTCTTCTTCTTCTTCTTCTTCTTCTTCTTCTTCTTCTTCTTCTTCTTCTTCTTCTTCTTCTTCTTCTTCTTCTTCTTCTTCTTCTTCTTCTTCTTATTATTATTATTATTATTGTGGTATTGATGTCATAATTTTGGCTTGTAACAGTAGCATTGAGGCTGTTGGTCTTGTATTTGCGTCTTTATAGCTCTGAGTGCCGCTGTTGATTAACATCTGAGTAGAGCACTTCTTTGCTCAGTAGTCTGTATTGCCAGTCACTTACTGACGTGTTTGTAGGTTGGGCAAATGCAGCGTTTTTTCCGATGGAAAGAACATGAATGCTTTATGGCGGATTTAGGATTTTAATGGCTTTTCTTGTTCCACTCTTCGTTTGACGACACAGCTTCTCAGGATGGTTTTCTTAAGGTTATCGAGCAATTTACACAATCCATGGATGGTTTCCGCACAGTCAAAATGGCAGGTTGTGCTTTTCATTCTCTGCTTTTACGGAGTGGACGTCATATATTGCAATGCGAGATATTCCATCCCGGAGGAAATGCCAGAGGGATCATTCGTTGGAAACATCGCCAAGGATCTGGGGATAGAGATAAGTAGACTCATATCTGGAAAAGCTCGCGTCGTTACAAAGGGCGGACGACAGTATGTCGATCTGAGCAGAGACAAAGGGACTCTAGTAGTTAAAGAAAGGATAGATCGCGAGGAGCTCTGTAAGCAGATGACGCCTTGCAGCTTCAGCTTTGATCTTATCGTTGAAAACCCTATCCAGCTCCATCGAGTCACAGTCGAGGTGCAAGATATAAACGATAATGCACCGTTATTTCAGAAAGAAAATATTAATTTGAAAATAGCTGAAAACGCGGTTTTAGGAGCGCGCTTTCCTTTAGACAGCGCTATAGATACAGATGTAGATCTAAACGGTATACAGAGCTATAAACTACATCCAGCTGATAGTTTTAAACTGGAGGTTCATAGTCAGACCGATGGCAACAAATACATTGAGATGGTTTTAAAACGAGAACTAGACCGAGAGGAGCGCGATGAGATTCAATTGATTCTTGTGGCAAATGATGGTGGATCACCTCAGAAATCAGGCACTGTAAAAATTCACGTTACTGTTCTGGATGCCAATGATAATGCCCCAGTGTGTAAACAGTCAGTATTTAAAACTGAAGTTAGAGAAAATTCACCTGCTGGTACTGTCATAGGTACCATTAGTGCTGCTGATGCTGACGAAGGTGTAAATGGCCATGTTTCCTATTCCTTCGCTGTTGCAAGCAAAGAAGCAAGTGAGCTTTTTGGGATAAACACAGATACAGGTGAGATTAGACTTCTTAATAATTTAGATTATGAATCTCAGAATAGATATCAATTAAATATAAATGCGAGGGACAAAGGAGGCTTCTCAGATACTTGTAAAATTGTTATAGATGTAATTGATGAGAATGACAACTCTCCAACCATACAGCTGATGTCGTTCTCAAACACTCTTCCTGAAAATTCCCCAGTGGGAACAACTCTAGCCGTCATTAACGTAGAGGACGCAGATTCTGGTAAAAATGGTCTTGTTCAGTGCTCAATAAATCAAAACATACCTTTTAAAATTGAGTCATCTCTCGCGGAATATTATAGTTTAGTTACTGATGATATTCTTGATCGAGAAAGCCTAGCTGAATATAATATAACCATCTTGGTATCAGACGAAGGAAGTCCTGCGCGCCACGCAAACAAAACACTTAATGTAAAAATATCTGATGTCAATGACAATCCGCCAATCTTCGAGTTCGAGGAATATAAAACATTCGTTAGTGAAAATAATTATCCTGGTCTCACTATACTGACTGTTAAAGCAAATGATGCTGACTGGGGTCCCAATGCGCAATTGTCCTACTTCCTGAAGGACGAAGACATGCGTGGTGCACCATTAAGTTCTCTAGTATCTGTAGATTCACATACTGGCACTATTCATGCAGTTAAATCATTTGATTTTGAACAGTTAAAATCGTTTGCTTTTAACGTGACAGCTCGAGATGGAGGATCCCCGCCCTTGAGCTCTGAAGTGACAATAACTATCAATATTCAAGATGAGAATGACAACGCTCCTCAGGTTCTGTATCCAGTACAGACTGGTGCTTCTGTGGTGGCTGAGATTGTGCCTCGTGCTGCAGATGTTGGATATCTGGTCACTAAAGTGGTGGCTGTTGATGTGGACTCTGGACAGAATGCCTGGCTCTCCTATAAACTACAGAAAGCTACAGACAGAGCGCTGTTTGAAGTGGGTTTACAGAATGGAGAAATAAGAACTGTGCGACAAGTGACTGATAAAGATGCGGTCAAACAAAAACTGACGGTTGTTGTGGAGGATAACGGACAGCCCTCTCGCTCAGCTGTGGTCTCCATTAACGTGGCTGTGGCTGACAGCTTTCCTGAAGTGCTGTCAGAGTTCACAGACTTTACACAAGAAAAACACGAGAATCTGACCTTTTATTTAGTTCTCGCACTGGCTGCTGTTTCTTTCCTATTTATTATTTGTGTTGTTGTAATAATATCAGTAAAAATCTACAGATGGAGACAATCTCGCTTCTTATATCAGTCCAATCTTCCTGTTATTCCGTACTATCCACCACATTACGCAGACACAGGAGTCACTGGAACTCTGCCGCACGGGTATAATTATGAAGTGTGCATGACTGACTCGAGGAAGAGTGACTGTAAGTTTTCTACTCTCGGTGGTCAGAATGTTTTAGTGGTGGACCCGAGTTTCACTGAGACGATGCAGCGGGCAATGAAGAAAAAAAACTTAGAAGATGCCGAGATGCCTGAAATGGTAAGATCACTTGTTCATAAAAAGTCCATATAATATTAAAATTACGTATACTGAATTGTGGTTTGTAATATTGGTCTGCTAAGCTATGTTAAACATATAGAACGCTACAATTAGGTTCAGTTCTTAAACAAGAGTTGTTCAATGCATTCGCGACCATGACAAAACGTTTTTTTTCCCCCTGCAGTTATTAATATGGGTACATTTATATACAGCGGTGGCCAAAATTATTAGAACACTAGTATTTTCACCAGCTAAAAAAATGGTTTTAAGTCAGTTATTTCCATATTTTGCTGTAGTGTGTCAGTAGGAAATGTCAGCTTACATTTCAAAACATTCATTTAGCCATTAATTGCAATAAACCAGTGATATTTTTGTTTGCACAAAGAGTCTGACAACAGCCAGTGCTCCACACAGAGATCTGATCTGATCATCATCCAGTCTGTCTGGAATGACATGAAGAAACAGAACAAACTGAGACAGACTAAATCCAGAAGAACTGTGGCGACGTCTCCAAGATGCTTCAAGAATCCTACCTGCAAAGCTACAGTACTGTTGAAAGTTTTAGGCCTTGTGTAAAAATGCTGTAAAATTAGGATGCTGTCAAAAAATGTCATAAATAGATTTTCTTTATCAATTAACTTATATTAACTAAATTAAATCAACATTTGGTGTGATCATCCTTTGCGTTTAAAGCAGCTTTTGCCCTCGGTGCTAGTTTTTCAAGTTTTTCAGGTAGCTTTGCAGGTAGGTTTCTTGAAGCATCTTGGAGACGTCGCCACAGTTCTTCTGGATTTAGTCTGTCTCAGTTTGTTCTGTTTCTTCATGGTCAGACTCTTTGTGCAAACAAAAATATCACTGGTTTATTGCAATTAATGGCAAAATGAATGTTTTGAAATGTAAGCTGACATTTCCTACTGACACACTACAGCAAAATATGGAAATAACTGACTTAAAACCATTTCTTAGCTGGTGAAAATACTAGTGTTCTAATAATTTTGGCCACCACTGTATAAAGTACTACTTTTAACAATTCAGTTTGTACATATTAACATTAGCAGCACTTTTAACATTTCAATAAAAAAAAAACTGTATAATAATTACATTACTCTAGATTAATTCAATCTGTAAAATTATTCTTTATTAATAGTTCATGCCTAATGCAACAACTAATGTTAATGGACAGAACCTTGTCGTAAACTTAAAGTCTTTAAGCAGCTTTAAGGGCTATAAGGTTTTCTCTGTAAAGGCAAATATGTAATCTGTAATATTATCATGAAATCATTTTTTCAATAGTAGGGAATTATAGCACTTCTGATTTCTGCTACTTCTCAGTGTACAGTAAGATTAACATTTACGTTAATAATTGATGGTTAATGAGTATTTGTCTTAGTATATACTGTATAGTGTTTTAGGGATAATTTATCCTTTAATCAAGATCAAATAATGGAAAGCACCGCAGTTCTAGTTCTGGGACTAGCTTTTCATAGCTTTAATTATTGTTGTTTCTCGTTCTCAGCTCTAAGGGCCGCTGTTGATTTGTAGAAACGCATGTATGTGATCGCCTGTGGTTGGTGGAGCTGTGCTGATGCTGGTAGGAGAGATTGTGGAGGAGACTAAAGAGAGTCGATGAAGGGAGACAGTCACTGGCTAATAGCAAACAAACTAGATGTATCTGTGGATATTTTGAATGCGGAACATCATCTACAGTTTGTAATTTGAATACTTCACGTATAAAAATGTTTGTGATTAGAGCATGTAGAAGGATTCATTGTTACAAATCGCGAGGACTGCCACTGGATCGCGTTTTCTTATGGAGGGTCTTGTTCATCATGGCTGCTTGTTCGATCTCAAACATAAACGCACAGATTCGTTACTCCGTTCCAGAGGAAATGAAGAAAGGGTCGCTAATCGGAAATATAGCTCACGATCTTGGTCTGGATGTTCAAAGACTGCGCTCGGGTCGGGCTCGTATCGTGTCTGGCGACAGCACTGAGTACGTAGAGCTGAAATCAGACAAAGGGATTTTGGTTGTAAAAGAAAGAATTGACCGAGAGCAGCTTTGCGCTGAAACCACTCCGTGCAGCTTCACATTTGAAATAATACTTGATAATCCAATGGAACTACATCATGTTACGGTGGAGATACTGGATGTAAACGATCACTCGCCAATATTTGCTAGGGACGAAATTAATCTTGAAATAAGTGAATCGGCCACGCCTGGGGCACGTTTCTTACTGGGAAGCGCAGATGATCCTGATGTAGGTGTGAATGCTCTACAAAATTATATTATGTCAACCAATGATAATTTTATTCTGAAACAACACTCGCGCCCCGATGGAGTTAAATATGCTGAAATGGTGCTTCAGAAGCCTCTAGACAGAGAGCAGCATCCACGACTGTCTCTCATTCTCACGGCGGTCGACGGAGGAAACCCTCAGAGATCTGGTAATATGAAAATAGAGGTGAATGTACTAGATGCAAATGACAACGCACCAGTATTCAACCAATCAGTTTATAAGGCAACAATAGCGGAAAATGCGCCTAAAGGAACTTACATTACAACTGTTAACGCAAGTGATGCAGATAGTGGAATGTATAGTTTGATTTCATATAGTTTTGCTAATTTGAAAGGAAACATAAATGAAGTGTTTGAAATAGATGAAAAATCAGGTGCTATTACTCTAATTGGGGTGCTTGACTTTGAAAAATCAAAAAAATACGAAATTGGCATCGAGGCCAAAGATCAGGGTGGTTTAGGAAACTCTGCTAAAGTCATAGTTGATTTAATTGATGTAAATGACAATGCACCCGTTATTAGTGTTATGTCATTTTCAAGCTCAGTGAGTGAAGACGCACATGCTGGCACCACTATCGCTATTTTCAGTGTCAAAGATCTAGATGCAGGAGAAAATGGCCACGTTGCCTGCACAGTAGATCGAAATACTCCATTTAAACTTCTGTCCTCACTGCGGAATTATTACACTTTAGTCACTGATGCTGCTTTAGATCGTGAACGTGTGGCAGAATATAATATCACTATCACAGCTACAGATTCAGGGTCTCCTGCGCTTTCTAGTCAGAAAACTTTAATTCTGAAAGTATCAGATGTTAATGACAATCCTCCCAGGTTTCAAAAGAGTGTTTACACTACATATGTTACTGAAAACAATCAACCTGGTTTGTCCATATTTACTCTGAGTGCTCAAGATGATGACTGGAACCAGAACGCTCGTATTTCGTATCTTCTAGATGAGACTACAGTGGGTGGATCCCCTGTTTCCTCTTTTATATCAGTAAATGCTGACAGTGGAGTGGTTCACGCACTGCGCGGTTTTGACTACGAGCAAATGAAAAGTGTTCGTGTTTGTGTGAAAGCGCAAGATGGAGGCTCTCCGCCCCTCAGCACTAATGTGACTTTGGACATTATAATCCAAGATGAGAATGACAACGCTCCTCAGGTTCTGTATCCAGTACAGACTGGTGCTTCTGTGGTGGCTGAGATTGTGCCTCGTGCTGCAGATGTTGGATATCTGGTCACTAAAGTGGTGGCTGTTGATGTGGACTCTGGACAGAATGCCTGGCTCTCCTATAAACTACAGAAAGCTACAGACAGAGCGCTGTTTGAAGTGGGTTTACAGAATGGAGAAATAAGAACTGTGCGACAAGTGACTGATAAAGATGCGGTCAAACAAAAACTGACTGTTGTTGTGGAGGATAACGGACAGCCCTCTCGCTCAGCTGTGGTCTCCATTAACGTGGCTGTGGCTGACAGCTTTCCTGAAGTGCTGTCAGAGTTCACAGACTTTACGCATGAAAAACAATTTGACGAGAACTTGACCATTTATTTAGTTCTTGCATTGGCTGCTGTTTCTTTCCTGTTTATCACATGTGTGGTTGTGATAATATCAGTAAAGATCTACAGATGGAGACAATCTCGCTTCTTATATCAGTCCAATCTGCCTGTTATTCCGTACTATCCACCGCATTACTCAGACACAGGAGTCACTGGAACTCTGCCGCACGGGTATAATTATGAAGTGTGCATGACGACTGACTCAAGGAAGAGTGACTGTAAGTTTTCTACACTCGGTGGACAAAATGTTTTAATGGTGGACCCAAGTTTTGCTGAGACGATGCAGCGAGCAATGAAGGAAAATAAATTCTTAGAAGATACCGGCGAGTGTACTGAAATGGTAAGATCACATGTTATTTAAAAATAAAATTAAATATGAAATAAAATAATATAAAGTCTTTGTGATATTAAAATTACATTCAATAAGTTTTACTTTGTAATATCGGAAAACCATTTGCACTACGCAATTAGTATACACTAAGGTTTTGTTCATTAACGCCAGTTAATGCTTTACTCAGCATGAACTAACAATTACATTTTTACAGCATTTATTACATGTTAGTATGAAATTATATTATTGTTCAGTATTAAATCACTTTTGTTCATAATAGTTTATTCATAAAATTAAGAAACAATGGTAGTATATGTGATTCCATTAAACTATTACAATAAACGCTATAAAATGTTAATCGTTTTTAGTTCCTGATGAGTAAAGCATTAACTAATGTTAAGGAATTTAGTCTTAACGTGAAGTGTAACCTTAAAATCGTGA